ACCTCTAGAAATGTCTTTTCCGAGAAATTAATTTTCGATGTTCTTTTGACCCTGGCACAGACAGACAAACAAACGCATTTTCGTTTTTTTCGTATCACCCTCCTTTCAGTCGAGGGAATATTGAAGTTTGGTAATGTTGCAAAAAAGCGTGAACATAATCTCATTGCTCGAAGATAACGTGCATCAGCATCAGAACTAAAACCTATAACATGTACACCTTGAATTAAACACTGATCATGAATAAATAACCATCTTCTTAAGATTTCAATTGCTTTTGCTTTATTGTTTGATCCGTAAGCTGATAAAATGAATGGTGGAGCTGATAATGTTAAAGATTTTAACATGTATAAATTAATAAATTTAGCTTTATCTATATCATTAAACCATAATTCTAATTGCTCAAAATTTTCCGTCTGGAAAAAATTCGATTGTGGTACTCCATTGACTAAAGGTGCAGAAAAACCAATAAATGAATTCAATGTTGCATCATAGTCTATACGAGATATTGAACTAGTAGCATCTTCAGCTACAAATACATAATTACATTTATTAGATTCTACATAATCTTGTAATAGTTGAAATCTAAATTTCCCTTCCATTATTTTTATATTTTGATTCCTTATCAATGATTCTATGCTTGAGATATGAGGTAATGATCCTGATAAGTTGAGACGTAGAAATTCATAGCAGTTTCTACCTCCAAGAATAAATATTAATAAAGCAAATTGCTGAATATGTACATCATAATTATATCTATTTTTTGTTGTTGTCATATTTTGAAAAATATTTATAATCCATGGAACAAGAATAGAGAAATTATGTACATTAGATAAATTAGATGCTTGATGTTTTAATAATTCTGTTAACTTTACATATATGTCATTTTCTATAAAATTATTTGATACTACACGATTGTTTACAGATGAAGTATTTTTTGCTTGTACTAATGACAAAAGACGCTCTAATAATTGTTGATGACCAAGTCGGAGATGAAAAACTCCATGACTTGTCATGTATCCAAGTGATTTTTTTAGATCTATTAAATCTGTAATCTCCAAAGTAAGTATATGTGTTAATTGATTTACAGTTACTGATGATAACGATGACATTTCTCGAATTGACTGAACTTGAAATAATTCACTTAATTCTTTATTTAATGCAATTTCAATAAAATTATAGAAATCTTTAAAACTTAAATTCATCATCTCATCTGTTAATTTATCAAGTTTTAAAATATTCATAATTGCTGTTGAAGAAATGCAGATATTAATCTTTATAATAAGATGCTATTAAGAGAAAAATTAAGTATACGTGAAGAATGTATTGTTCTGAAAGTATATAAACGGATCTATTCAATATGAAATCAATAATTCTTTATTTTTAATCAACATAGTTACAAATATAAATAGGTTTCTGTTAAATACAAAAAACGATATATATTATTTTTATTTAACGATTAATTTCATATAGTTGAAGAGAAAAAAGCGTACTATAAATAAAATATAAAACAAATATCTACTATGTTTTTATATGTCGAAGTAAAAGAAACAATATATATTTTCATAAGAACTATTGACACCATGATTCATTTTTTAATCTTGATCACTATGTTTATTATTTAATGATTTACTCTTTTTTAAGATATTTTCATTTGTATTTGATGTTGCTTGTTTTGATGGTGATCGAGTTCGTTTTGAAGAACTATTTGATCGATTTGCAGGAGAATTTTCGTTGATAATTAAACGATTATCTTTTTTACCTGCCTAATAAAATAAAAAGTCATACAAATTTTATGTTTAACGCAAGGCATACTTACAGCCTTTGATCGTGTTAAACATTGTTTTTCTTTTAAATGCCGAAAATACGCTGATAATTTAAAAAAACCTGTTGTCATAAATGGTAGCTTGAATCGATTACGGCATTGACAGGATAAAATGCACGCATATGTATCATTTATTGATTTATTGATTTCCAAGAGAAAATGTGTACCTTCAGATAATAATAAATTATTATCATTATTAAAGGTGCACCACCATTTATTTATCCGTTGTTCAATATCTATTACATGATCAATTTCATTGAAACGATTTTGTATTAATGGTAATTTTGATTGTGTTGATTGTGTATCAGTAGCTGGTGAAATGATTATTGTTGATTGTGTATCAGTAACTGGTGAAACGGTTATTGTTGTTGGTGTAGTCATTTCATCTTGTGATTGAATTTCATCTTGTGATTGAATTTCATCTTGTGATTGAATTTCATCTTGTGATTGAGTTTCATCCATAGATATTAATGTATCAATATTGGATGATGTACGTTTAGTTGAAATGTGCTTTTTTTTCTTCTTTTGTTGTTCTTCTTGCTTCACCTTTAATAATCCAATTAGACTATTAATTGCAAGTTTAACACCTAATTTTATTTCATATTTATCTTTATTAATTTTAAAACAACATAATTGTCGAAGTTTATCAATTTCATCAGATTCTTGTTGTAAGATTAACAAAATAGCATCACATGATGCTTGAAGAATATGTGAGCCATTACGAATGGCTTGAAATCGGAATAATTCAGCTAGATCATCACCATACGATTGTAATATATAATTATAAAATTGATCATTATTATAATGAAAGATATCATCTGGTAAACCATTTTGATTAATTTCTGTAGTAGATGTTGAAGACGACATTAGTTAAAATAATTATCTGAAATAAACGATATTTAACGAAACTTCGTTTTTAATATCAGAAAGTAGTGTAAAAAGAGTTAAATTTAACGGGAAAATATTATAAAATGGGTATTTTTCTGATTGGGTACTTATAAAAAGTTCGTTATTATTAACGTATATTAATGAGCCCGATAGAGAGCGCTCTTAATCAGTCACAATACAGTCGTTTATTTTATAAATTATATCAGAAAATCAATTAATATCTCAACACTTCAGCATCTATTCAGCACCTACTCAGCACTTCAGCACCTGCTCAGCACCTGAGCACCTATTCGACACCTGCTCAACACCTCAGCACCTTTTCAGCACCTGAGCACCCGTATAGCACCTCAGCACCTGTTAGGTGTTTTTCGGTGCTAGGTGCCAGCTATTACCCCCTTGATTTTACTTCGTAATTTCTTTGGATCTTCTTCAGATGATTCTTTAAAAGTTAAATTTCGCTTCATAGTAACCACGTGTCTACTTAAATGATATTCAAGCAAAGAATTCAATTATATAGACTGCGCTCTTTTTTCTTTCCTTTTCGATCGATTTTATTCGCGCGTCCGTCATATTTCAATAGGATTTCGTTCTTTTAACTACTATAAATCATTTCAGAAGAATTGAATCATGTGTTTATTGTTTGCTAAAGTAGTTTTTAGAATATTTATTGAATAATATTTTGAACAAGAATTTTTGTTTAATCCAAAAGTACGAACGAAATGATTCGAGTAATACTGATTGAAGATAATAAGTTAAAAGTTGAAATTCAAACTTAACTTTAATAAGATTTCATTTTTAGAAGAAATTAAGTCTTCCATCGATTCTCATTAGTTAAATCATTATTATCAGTTGCTTGTAAAGTTGAATGAATTAATACATCTACATCAATTATTAAATGTGTTAAGAATTTCGATTATTGTTCAAGTGAACGATCAAAATTAAAACTAAAATTTTGATAAATATCATATTTTATTATTTCTAATAATCTGACAGATATTGTTAAATTCATTTTATCATCATATGTTTCAATCAATGTTATTAATTTTAGATAAAGAAATCTTAAGGGTGTGGGTATCATATTTATACTGTATATACACTCACCACCCGCTCCACATCCTCACCCTCAAATTTGATTTTGTTTCTTTTCTTTGATTTGCAATTATTACGAAAGATGGCCATTTTAATGAAATTTTATTGAAAGATTAGATCGATTACGCTGAGATGACAATGGATAATTCCAACTAAATGAAATACTGAAAAGCATAAAGAACACAAGAGTGACAACTACAGATGCAGAAAAGCTGAGAGTACAAGCAATTTGATTAAAAAAAGTAAAAATCCGGGATCTGGAATCTAAAATGGAAGGAACACACACACGCATCACACAGTAGTCATTAACACTACGAACAGGACATTTCCGAAAGGACTGATATATGTTAACATCCAGTGGATATGAGACTGTATTTCCAAATGCCGCTATCGGTATAATACATCGATTGAGTGCTGTATACGTAAATATTACCGGCCGTATCTAGTTGTATGCTTGGAAGTCCATACATTCCACCGGAAAACACAGTGTTAGAGACTATCGTTTTTAAAAAGCCAGCTCGACGAATGAATCGATAAATGGTACTACCTCCCGCGACATAGATATTTCCTGATTTGTCCAATGTTAGCTGATAAGGTGCATATTGAGATCGAACTGTGAAGAGAACCGTACCTTGTGAACTACCAGATAAATACATCATCACTCGACTAAAATAAAACATATCATTTATCAAGTGGTCAGTGTTTATCCATACCGTTATAAGTTGAAAAGGAGTTTTTAGAATTGAGGAGATGTTTGGAACATGTCGTAATGACGGAAACTATATTATTGCGCTCTGTTGAATAGGAATATATTAGGTTCTTCTTAACTGAGTCAACTCTTCTTCAAGAATATAGATATAGTGTCTAGGTTCAATTCCGTTCGATAAAAAAACTAGTAGAATCAGTTAGTGCAGACTCCTGACAAAGAATTGGTATACTCCTATTCTTGAATAGTTTTGTTTATGTAAAAAATGACTTACCATGGCTCATAAAAATGATGAATTTATTAAACGACAGATTCTGACTTACTTGTTATTGGTATCCGCCACGTATAAAGTATTATTTGAATCAACGTATATACCAGCTGGATTGTTGAGTTGATTGGCATTCGATCCGGCCGTTCCGTTAGCACCAGCCACAACAGTCAGCATCATTGTAAAAGGTGTGATTTTTACAACACGATAATTACTTGGATCAGAATAGTAGATGAAACCTTGTCGATCAACAAAAAGACCACCACACTGGCACACCTGATTCATTTGATTACCACATGTTACATCTCCGAATAACACAATGCCGTCAGTACCGTTGCCCTCCACATATTGTACTACTCGGTAGTAGTTACTGTACCCATAAATTCCATAACCATACTTAAAGCAAAATAACATCGTATTATTTCCATTAGATTATTAAACAATCAGTTTATAGTCTTTTTTATTTCCTAAGAGGGTTTATAGTAAGAAATCATTTTGAGGGTGTAGATGTGGGTGAGAATTGAGGTAAAGCAATGCAAAATGTGTATATGAGTATGCACCAAACCCAAAGAATTTGGTCTAGGCCAGATTGAGGGTGTGGGTAGGTCTGAATCTGGGTGTGAAAGATAGACATGCTCACCCACACTCAAGATCGACAGATATTCTCTAAACTCATGTTTCATATTTTATGTAAGAAGGCTTTCACTACTTATGATGTGCGTAAATGACAAACAGAAACTTACTCCATATTCGGCTGAATAAACAGTTCCGTTAGAATCAACGAACACCTTGTTAGGTGTGTAATACAACGTCGTGTTAGGAGCACCGATCACAGTGTATGTTGACGTATCGTTTGCTCGAATTTTAATAATACGTCGGTTATTACTGTCAATGACGAAATAATTATTTTTCGCATCGAGACGAAAATCGTTCACGTAAGAATAATAGTTATACAAAAAGATGTTAGTTAGATTGACGGCGAATTGTTCCATATCACTCCAAATAGCAGCCGGACAGATAGCATCTAGAAGTTGATGAGACAAAAAGAAAACATATTAGTTTGTAATGAAATAAAATCAGTCATATGATATCGACTGCACATTTCATAATCAAAACACAACTCAATTGTCTAATATAGCGATAGAACTATCTGTTAATTTAGTGTGGGTGAGGATATAGGCAGGGCTGCTTACAGACTTAAGTGACGCTAGAGAAAGCATGCGTGTCCGTGGTGATAGTGTCTCTTCTCTTTTTCATCAGAACTTTGTTAGAATTATAATACGTACGTACCTATTGTAGATATTCCGGAACTTGTCGAATTCGTAGTTGCATTACTTATTGATGAACATACGGCTGTCATAGCAGTAGGCATACAGATAGGTGTTAAACAGCAGCTATTGATGACACAAACAGAATTATTCGACGCACATGTTTTTGTGCTCGAACATGCGTCGAACAATGAGCAGTTTGCTGCAGGTGCACATACTGTTTTATTTTTCGATGTTTGAAAACTATAACATAAACTAGACAAGAAACAACTACCACCTTGATCACCAGAACTGCAGGAATCAACCATGCAACTTGCTGAAGATTTGAGTGATGCACCTAGATAAAAGAGATCAAAAAAAAATCATTCTCATCGATTTGATATTACCTTTACTGTACGCCAAAAGTAAACATAGATAAATACTGGTGAGAAATGTGCTTCTCATCGTTTTCATACTAATGCATATTAACTGAAAAACGAATGTCAGTGTGTGAAAGAGGAACCGAAGAAACTGCTAATTTATAAGAGCTACGCAGCGATGAAATCATTCTCTCCTTTTTTTCAATAAAAAAATAAATAAAGCTTTTTTCTATGACCATACAGATAAATACAAGTAAAACGTGATTTGTTTGCGCAAAAGAAATACAATTTACGTCGCTCACATTTTAGCGCACTAAAATTTTTCAACAACGGCCAACTCACAACGACGAATGACATCAGCTAAGCCAAATTTCAACGTATTGTAGAAAATGAGAGGGAGAAAGATTTTTTGAAAAGAAAAAAATTACTGTGGCTACCGCAAAGATTTCGTCACCAAACATTGTGTACTGTTTGAGGAGTCCATTAACAGTTGGCAAAAACAATAAACAAAAAAAAAGGAAGTGCGCACATACATATAAAATTTTTTATTCTCAAACAAACCACCTGAGACAAGGAGAGAAAAGCGGTTTGTGATTTTTGTGATTTAAATGATTCTTGGGTGATTTAAATTGGCTTTTCCCCCTAGACTTGAGAGCAATCTTTCACTACTCACCCAGTCAAAACTCGTCAAAATCTGTAAAGATTTTCTGAAGTTCCGAAGGCTTTTTGAGCAATATCAAAAAATTAGACCTAATAATTTATGCGGGACTAAACCGTGAAACACAGTCTAGCTAGTATAATGTAAAATGAAATCAATGATCTTGACCAGTATTCCTGAGTCAGATGAAATAAGTAGTGTCCATTAACGAGTATTAATCGATTAATATTCAACAGTTGTTTTGTGGGTATGGGCGAATATATGAGTGTAAATGGGTATTGTCAGTGAAAAAAATACTTAAACCACAGCGATATAGATCTTTATTAAAAACTTGTTACATGTCCGTAATCCTTGAAGGTTTGTGAAAAGTATTGAAATTTTTATAAATACTCATAAGCAGGATTTTTTATATCTTAAATGTTGGAGACTCTTCGCCAATAACCATCAATGGCGAAAGTAATTGTTTCGAAAGCTCTATTTTCAGTAGATTAAAATTTCGATCAACGATGTGGTTAATTGGTAGCTCAGCAGGCGAGCCTTATGTGTCTTCTTTCATTGCATAGTTGCGAAGGACAAAAGGCTACAGCTCGTCAAAACTTTTATGTTAGAATTTTCTAATTGTTAGATAAAGTGAGGACCAACGCAGAGATGGATCGTACTCTCTCGATTGGTATTTGATGAACAAAGTAACATTAAATTTTGAAGATACTAAAGATTACTCGAACCGTACTGCAAATATGAAAAGCAACATGCTTGTTTAATGTCTATTGACACCCGGGTCTGTGACTCGCAGTGGAATTTATTCGATCAACTAGACTGCATCTTCAACTCTAGCACTGAAATACAACTTTTAAAAGGATTCGCAGTAGTATTGATATAGATTTTTAGTGAAAAATCAAGTTTCTCGATCTGCTGTTTTCGAAGATTGTTTTTTCAACTTAAACAATTCTGAATTAAAAAACACCATTGTGGCAAATAATGTACACCTGTTGCGATTTGACGACGCTATAGTTGAAACACAAGCGATGAGAAACAAGAGATGTGCACATAGCATCATATTTCGCTTTTTCGCCGAAATAAGCAGTCGATCAGTTTATATGTGAGTGTCGAATTTTTAAAAAAGTGAATTACAGAACAAGGGTGTGGGTGTTCTCTTTGACTACACCCACACCCAAGCGCTTATTTTGGTCTGTGTGCCTTATTGAGAGCGTGAAAACGATTTCAGGTTTATTTGTTTTTGTTTTTCGGCTTTTTCGAAGTCATATTCTATATACATACGAATTACGCTTACAAAAAAAAGTAAAATAAATTGGCCGACAAACATAAGCTGTTTGTATAGTGCTGCAGATTTTTTGCTTTTAAATAAACTCTATGAAAACTTGGCATACCGCCTGATAAATACAGTTCTATGTACTACACTGGGATATCGACTTGACAAAAAAATATACATTGATTTCTCGAACAGCATAATCAACATTTCAAAGTATATCATAAAAAGTAAGCACCATATGTGAGAGGTTGAGGATAGGACCGATTAGAGTGAGAATGAGGGTAAGAAGAGAAAATATATCAATTTAGTCTGTTGAGGGTGGGTGTAGCTGTGATTGTGGGTGCGTGTGAGCGTGGTTATGGGTGCGTACAAATACCATAAAAAAGAGTTTTTAATCTTCAAAAATACATTGAGAGTGTGAATGTGCAAGAGCGCGGGTGTTATTTACAAGCAACAAAAACACCCACACTCACAACCTCGAGAAATAAACTGCTTTTTTACTACCTAGGATCGTTTAACACGAACAAATAAAACAGCCCGATATAAAATCAACTTTTGTTCGAACCCCCAGAGATTCTGAAAATGGTACCCATCTATAAAGCCCCCTATGGTTGTTTCTGACACATTTTTTTCAGAAAAAAGACTAAGATCTCCGAATACAAAACCATCTTGTGAGACACTCTCACTTCATTTTATTAATCAAAACCCAAAAATACTCTGAAATATAATTAACATCACACAAAAAAAGGAAATCCTATGCATCCATACGGTATACACAGACTCAAAGAAAAGAACAATCACTCACTTCACAAAACACAAAACACACAACAGACACCAAAAAATCATTTCACACGCAGATCTAAACCTAACAAACATTCATAACATTTACTTTCCCACACAATGACAACATTCCTTTCATGTAGTAGTACTGGAACTAGTAGTCGAGGTCGTTGTGCTAATCGTTGAAGTGGTGGTAGTAGTGACATTCATAGCTGAGTTACCCATCGATGTTGTGGTCGATGTAGTACTGGTGGCGGTGGTAGTGGTATCCGTACTTGAGTTACCCATCGATGTTGTGGTCGATGTAGTAGTAGTGGTGGTGGTAGTAGTAGTATCCGTAGTTGAGTTACCCATCGATGTTGTGGTTGATGTAGTAGTAGTATCCGTAGTGAAGTTACCCATCGATGTTGTGGTTGATGTAGTGCTAGTGGTGGTGGTAGTAGTAGTACCCGTACTTGAGTTACCCATCGATGTTGTGGTTGATGTAGTAGTAGTGGTGGTGGTAGTAGTAGTATCCGTAGTGAAGTTACCCATCGATGTTGTGGTCGATGTAGTAGTAGTGGTGGTAGTAGTAGTTGTACCGGTAGTTGAGTGACCCATCGATGTTGTGGTTGAGGTAGTAGTAGTGGTTGTAGTAGTGGTACTTGTGGTGCTGGTGGTATCTGTTGTTGAGTTACCCATCGAACCTGTGCTCGATGTAGTACTAGTGGTTGATGTAGTAGTTGTAGTGGTACTTGTGGTGCTGGTGGTATATGTTGTTGAGTTACCCATCGAACTTGTGGTTGATGTAGTACTAGTGGTTGATGTCGTGCTAGTGGTTGATGTAGTAGTAGTAGTGGTACTTGTGCTGCTAGTCGTATATGCTGTTGAGTTACCTATCGAACTTGTGGTTGATGTCGTGCTAGTGGTTGATGTAGTAGTAGTGGTTGATGTAGTAGTGGTTGTGGTACTAGTACTATTCATAGTTGAGTTAGTTGTGGAAGCTGTGCTTGCGGTTGTGTTTGTGAGTGTTGAATTGGTGGTAGAATTACTTACTGGGTTGTTAAATGTGTTTGTCTCGGTAGGTGCTATAGAAAAGTAAGATAGATGATCGGAAGTATGTGGTTTTAGTTTGCTTACTTGCGCTGTTGCGGCTTAATATTACAACTGTTGGAACCGTGACAACAGTGGCGATAACAATGATCGAAACTGCGGCAATAATTATTAGAAGCATTGGATTAGCCATGGGTTTTTTTATTCAGTAATGAAGGAGCAAGAGGCTGGATAAATACTTTTTATCTAAAATATTTGTATATGATAAAAGAGTGTTGTGGATAAAGAATTTTCTTTAAGAGATTAATATAAGGACCTGTTGTCAATGATTTTTCATCGAATGTAGTTATGGAATAATTAATGTTAACGTGACGTGCAGAAGTGGTGACTATTAGGCGAATACGGCAGGATGGGACAGGATGTAGATGAGAGAATTTTCGAAATTTTCGTGATAGTTTTGAGGAATCTTTGGTGATTACAATGTTGAGCGCTGATTTGAAAGATTTGGATATTGTCTTTGGTATCACTGTCTTGTAGATAGAAAAGGTTTAGACGTATTCTAACTATTAAAGGATGTGTTAGACTATGTATGCTGTTAGTCGAAAATTATTATGATTGGAAATATTTGATGTAGATTGAACTCTCGGGAATATCATATAAAAATAATTATCTCTTTCTTCATTAATTTAAATAAAAATATATATAGTATCAGAAATTGACGTTTCGAACGTATAACGATCTTTTATAGAATAGGAAATTTATATTTATGGTGAAAAATAGAAAAATTCAACGTTGTTATTGTGTTTTGTTCTATTCATTTTTTTTATCGATTCCATGTAATGCTACTGCGGAGAAGACGGTAAAAACTGGTACGTGGAAGGTCACCATTCTTTTGTGCGTGTTATTAAAAAACAGAATTCAAAGAAAAAAGAAAAAAGTAACCATAACAAAGAAGAGAAAAAACATTGAATTTTTCTATTTGAATCATAAATATAAATTTTCTACTCTGTAGAAGAAAGTTATACGCTTGAAAAGTCAGTTTTTAATATTAAATATTTTTATTTCAATTTATAAAGGAAGAGATAATTACATTTATATGATTCATATAACCGTCCTCAAACACAGTGAATCACGTAAATATGTAGCTGGTAAGTGTTTCTATGTGATTTTTTTTGTTTTGTTTGCGTACTATACGATTTTATACTTTCTAAAACAGAAAAAAACTTCAAAACTTACGTTACGATCTGCCAATATTCATTTATACTGCTAGATTCCTTTTAGACTATGCATTACAATTAAGTATGCTCTAGTGCACATATGAGAAATGCTTCATCATCTATGACAGATTTTAACGAAATGGTGAACTTTATATAATATATATGAAATGCAATTAGTGAGAATGGTAAGCAGAAGAGTTGCTTAGTTTTGATGATTGTTTTAATATAATGACGTCATTAGTATGTTTATAATGTAGAGAAGGAATGAGATTAATGAGTATTGTGTTTGTGAAACCTTTTTATTACGGTCTCAGTTGACATAATTAGTCAGGTGTATGGGAAACACGGAGGCTGATATATGAAAGAGAGAAAGAAAACATTGTCATGATCGTCGCCGAACGCTTCAGATTATTATATGGTCTTGAAACCTTACAGAAGCTCCTGAAGCGGGAAAACCCCAATCTATTCTGCTTTTCTCTTCACTTCTTGAGTATTGGGTGAGGGTGAGGGTATGAGTGTGGTTGTTGCTTTGTTGTTTATCCACATTCACACATGTACACCCACAACCTCAGTAGAGCATCAATTTTTTATAGAGTGTATATATCACAGCAGAAGAAACACTAACAACTTTCTACAATAAAAACTTACCCTGACGATAGAAATGAAAATGAAAAATGCCACTGAAAGAACGTTGTATTCTCTCTTCTTAAATAGTTGCTTTTCCTTTGATTCGCGGAATCTCCAATCTTCAGACAGACGAATAACTAATGTAAAAGCAAACAGAGTGAGGGAATCTTATCACGACAACAGAAAAGAAACGAACACTTGTTTTTGATTTATTTTTAGCGAACAAAGAAAAATTCCCATCGACGGTGAAGAATGGTCGTCATTCTTATGTATTTATTTTGTTTTGAGGGTGTGGGTAAGGGTGGGTATGAGTGATGACGAATGGAATACTCGCACGCATCCACATCCACTCACATCAACGCTCACACGATCAGCCACAGCCACCCCACACCCCGAACCACAAAAGATTGCAGCTGGTCAAACTTTTATGTTAAAATTTTTTAATTGTTAGATAGAGTGGTGACCAAAGCAGAGATGGATCGTACTCTTTCGATTGGTATTTGATGAACAAAATAATATCAAGTTTTGAAGATATGAATGATTAATCGAACCGGACTGCAAATATGAAAAGTAACATGCTTGTTTAATTTCTTGTGACACCCAAGTCTCTGTGACTCGCAGTGAAACCTATTCGACTAACTAGACTACATATTCTACCCTGTCACTGAAATACAACTTAGAAAAGGACTCACAGTAGTATTGATATATATTTTTAGTGAAAAACCCATATTTTTCGAGCTGCACTTTTCGAAGAATTTTTTTTCAACATAAACAATTCTGGATGAGAAAACCTCATGGTGGCAAACAAAGTGCAGTTGTTGCAATTAGACGACGCCATAGTTGAAACACAAGCGATGGGAAAAAACGGGAGAAGAAAAGAATGTGCAAAAAGCGTCATATTTCGCTTTTTTCGCCGAAATAAGCAGTCGATCAGTTTATATTTAAGTGTCAAATTTTTATAAAGGTGAATTACAAAACAAGGGTGTGGGTGTTCTCTTTAGGTACACCCATACCCACACCCATAACCATCCACATCCATATCGACACTGACAATCATAACCACCCACATCCACATTCGTATCTACACCCACATTCACATCCATACCCTCACCCACACCCACACCCACACCCTCAAAACATAGGTTATTTTATTATTTGTTGTGAGGTTCACTTTAAAAAGATGGTTTTTGTTAGATGTCGCATAGATGCTCTCCAAAATTACATCCTCACACAAAAGTATTTCGCCTCTTCGTTTCTTTGCTATCATACTTTACATAAAATTTATTGCCGAGTATAGATGTGGCTTGAGAGTTTTATTTCAGTATGGTATACAGATCAAAATACAATAAAACTCCCAAGTCATATCTCTACTCGACAATAAATCATGTACAAAGTATGATAGCATATACATAAAGAAGGAGAAAAGACTATTGTCCATAGATCTATCTCATATTTAGATCCATTTTTCTATAAAAATTGTTTTTCAAAAGAATTTGAGATTTTTTCGCCACATGTGATTTCAATCGATCAGCTTACCAACCAGACTGGTTTACCATTTTGCAACCAATTCTCCGTGTTGATCTATATTATGTCGCAAAAGATGAGTACTCTTAGAAACAAAAGCTGAAGGCGATTAAAATACTAGGCATAAGTCGCAATCTTCGAAATATTTCATTTTACAAAAAATATAGAAGTATTGTATGAATACACAGTATAAAACCGAGCTTTGTGAATCAGAACTCATATTTTTTTAAAAATAAAATTATATTATTCGATCAGACTTTTCGTGAGTAGGTCTGATCTTCTAAAATTTCAAAAATTAAATATAATACTGACTTCGCACCACATGGAATGCTACTACATATATCTAGCTAAGGTGATCCTCTTTTTCTCTCACTTTTTATGCATTGAACGGCGTTACAATTAAAGTAACCCTGATCCCCCCATATTAGAAGTCTTCGTGGGCTTCTTCAAGGTGGGTGGGTGTGGGTTTGAATGAAAGATAGAGAAAAAATACCCACATCCACCCTCGACTTTTGCCGTAGACTATCGTTTTCTCTTATATCGATAGACATGATAATCGATTGTAAAAGCGAGGAGAAAAGAATACAATACAAAGACAATATTTTCACTTGAAATCAAATCTATGTATCTTTTTCTCTCTCTTCTGGATTTCGTTCGTTCTCTCACATTTGAGTTCAGCTTTGTCTCAGCTATGATACAAAGTCTATAACAAATACGAAATTTAATATCTTTTTTCATAGTTGGTTTGTGAAACTAACACAACTCATTTTCAACTTTTATATATTGTCACAACCTTTTTGCTGCAATTTGCGTCTGCATGATTTTTGTATTCCATCTGTTTTATTCACAATCTGCCTACTTTTTTCACTCAGTATCTTCTGCGATGTATGTTTTCAATTTTTAACTTTATGAAACGTCTTTTTTAAGACATATGTTTTGCTTTAATAAATAGATCGATAGATTGATAAATATTTAGATCCGTATATCTATTTATGTAATAAAAATAATACTGTTCGGATATTTTTTTTCTTTTTTCATAGATGTTAATGTTCCTTAAATTCCTTGATATATCAGAGAACTAAAAGAAGTAATATTGATACGAGAATTTGGCACTAATTAACATGCACTAATTAGAAGCAATTCTATGTACAGAATATGGAGAATACTATACGGCTCGTGGTTAACGATTCAAGTTAATGAGAATTGAGTTGCATCAGTCTGAATTTTAACCAGTTTAAGAATTGTCTAGTTCAGTGTGAGTGGTCGGTGTAGGTGTGGATAAAGACACAACACCCACACCCACACCCACACCCACACCCACACCCACACCCACACCCACACCCACACCCACACCCACACCCACACCCACACCCGAATTCAGCTTTAATATAGGACATCACGCTGGTTTCGCATTGATTGGTCCTAAGTCAAACTAGAATTGAAATTCGTTGCACGTGTAATCTATGGTCACTCTCGCATCAAAGCACTAGCTGAAATATAAATCGTAATCTCGCCTCCAGAGATCACTAGCTCCTTTATTCTCTATCGAATTTTGTGACAAGAAATATGCAGGTTTGCCTCTTTTTTTGCAAGTTTTATGGGTAAAGAAAGGCACTATTTGTTATTGTGAAACAGAAAAAAAACAATAAATATTATTTTAGTTTCTTTCCTTCTTATCTTTTACAAGCAGAGAACAAACCCTTTCAAAATGAATAATATGGTTATCAGCTGAAAAGAAAAGAAAACCTTTTTACCAACTTAGACTAATCACTTTGTTTGCCACTCTTTCTACATCGAAATCTTGAAAAACGGTGCGAGTGTGGATGTGAGTGTACAGAGCGAAAATATTCACACTCACCCGCACCCACACCCTCCTCGTGAAGCTTCTATTGAAAATTCTACATTCTCTTTTTTTGTTTCGGTGAAAGATATTCAAACATTGGAATCTAAATGGCAACAGCACACCGATTTCGAAAGTTAACAGAAGAAGAATTTTTAAGTAGTAGCGGTTCGAACCCAAAAGGTAAGTAAAATATTTTTGCCAAACTTCTTTTTTTTACAAAGAACGCGTCTTGTAATCTTTTAGAAGGTTGCTTCAGTCGCCTCTTAAAAGAAGTAAGATATCTAGATGATTGCCTGGATGATATTCTTAGCGTTTTCCTTGACGCTGAAAGTAACGATTACAAACACTGGGAAGCTATGATAAAAGGACCCGTGGATACACCATATGAAAATGGTGTATTTGCACTCGATATACGCATTCCAGTCAAATATCCATTCGAGCCACCAGAAATAAAATTTAAAACAAAAATATATCATCCAAATATAAGCTCGAAAGGCGAAATATGTTTGGATATTCTTCATACCCAATGGCCTGCGTCACATACTGTACAAAAAGCTGTACTATGCATTGTTTCTTTGTTATCAGACCCAAATACTGATGATTTTCTTGAGCCAGAGGCTGCCTTTTTATACCAAAAAGATCGCACAGAATATAATAGAAAAGCAGAAGAATGGACAAGAACATACGCTGCGGCAGTTGGAGTTCCTCGTGAAGCACAACAAGAAGATCTGAATGGCGTAAGTACATTGTATTGCTCCATATTTTAGATGTGTTCATTCGTCTGAGAGAAGAATCACATGGAAAATATAGTTTGTCTCCGTGTTTGTCACAGGTCAAAGGTAGTAAAAACATCACATAAGACCCGATACTACGAAAACCATTTTGCAGCTCGGCAAATCAAAAACTTGTCCTCTTACGATCTGCTAGCTTGATTCCCGCGAATTCTCGATCGTTATTGATAAAGAGATCCGATGTTCTGCCTTTATCACACGAGAATAAGTCTCCTAGGACGAGATGGGATTCTTTTTCCGGAAATGGCAGCAGAAGCGGTCGGTTCTCTCTTATCATCCTAGAGAGACTCAGGATTTTACTCTCAAGAATGAAGGTCCATCTTCCCTCCCGCTCTTTCCAGCGATGATAGCTTTGTCTCGAGCTACCCTGCCTTCAAACACTCATAGCTAGAGAGATCAGATCAAAGTCAACAAAGTCGACGAATGAGGCAATCGTAGCTGCGGAAGACTACTGGAGCAGATTGACGTCTGAAACAGTAAAACCCTACCGTGTTTGTGGGCTCAAGATCATTCTAACCGATGAACAGTTTTGATGATAAAAATGCTTGAGTACACGTAGTTAATACCCGATCGATGCTGAATAATCTAGAGAGAATCCGTTAGTTGCCTATTTAGTGAAAGACAAGAGCAGACGAATAGTTTTTGCTGGGCGAATATTATATAAGATTATGGCAGAATAATAGATGGATAGGTCTAGAATGATTATTTGACGAATAGATACTCGATCATCAGAATATGAGAAAACTAAACTCATGCTATTAAGGAATGTTCAGCGTATGAAAGAACACAGGGAGACGACAGGGAAAGAATGAATTAGGTATAAGGTTTAAGAGGGACACCGACGATCGACAGAAAGCTTCTGTGTTCCGTAGTATGGATTCTTTTTGAAAGGGAGTGGTCAAAATTGTGAATGTAATTCAGACGGTGGTAAAGCGAATTTCATCGACGAGTGTTATTTTTTTGCAAGTCAATAAATGACTATGGTTGATCTAACTAAAAGAATTAGATTGCCAGGGTGACGATGGCTTCAGAACTATCTTAGACCAGGTTTTAACCATTTTTCTTTATGCACTCACTGTTTTGAATTGATTTTAAGGTGCATCATCCTACTGATGCAATAATGGAGATGAACATATCATCAGATCAAATTGAACAAGAAGAAGTTGTTAGTATGCAATCTACTGAAGAACGTCGACCTGGTCGATTCAGTGTTTTTGAACCATTAAAGGCAAAGGCGTTTGATAACGGGGAATCGAAGAATCATGTTCCAATTGTTGAAGAATGTCTCAGACCCAGAAAAGATCGCTTAGTTAGACACAGGTAATCTTAGTGTCGTGAACTCGACCTATTCGAAGTGTTGTTTGGGTGTTCCCTTGATTAAATACCATATATTATTTTCAGATATCAGATGTCTTCCGATCATACTATTACAGAAAGACTGGATATTAATTCTGAACTTCAGTTACTGGCCGTAGAATTAGGCGAAGTCGGAAACGAGCTTGAAAAACGGTCAGAATCCATGATTTTAATCGAATCATTGTTTAAACTCATTGGTTTGTCTTCTGATGAAGTATGCCAAGGATGCCTACGCATCTATTCAATGGAAACATTTCTCTATTCAGAACTCAATCAATTTTTATGCGAAGGTGATCATTCGAAAATCGAAATATACGGACCATTTGTTCGTCTGCTATGTTTTTGTTTTGAGCATCCTTCACTAGTCGAAGTTCATAGTATTACAGTTTACCGTGGAGCGAATTTATCATTGACCATGATCAATATTTACAAAGAAGCTGCGAAAAATAGTGTATCATATCGATGGTCTGGTTTTAGTTCAACAAGTAAAAGTCAAGAATTTGCTGAAAATTTCCATACTAATACAGTGTTCATTATGCAACTAAAAAAGATCTATTCAAGAGAAAAGAAAGCTATTGATATTAGTCATTACTCAGAATTACCAGAAGAAGAAGAAATATTGTTAAGAACTGGTGTTGAATTTACCGTCGAAAATGTTAATTATGATGATGAGAAGAAAAAACATTATATTAATCTTAATGTTTATGTTTAACAATCTCTACATAAACTTAAAACGGACTGCTAAATTTCTTTTTATCTGACGATATTCCAAAGAATTAGAGTGTACATAAGAAAGTACACTGTGATCACTATTTCGACCATCTTTATGAGTCGTATCAGACGCCTTAAATCTTGAGGATGTAGTAGCTGACGTGGATGTGGGTGTGAGTGTGGGAGATGTGGATGGGTGTGAGTGAAAGAATGTGAAGGGCAATGACGTTACATGAAATATTCACGCTCACCCGGTCAAAACTCGTCAAAATCTGTAAATATTTTCTAAAGTTTGGAAAGCTGTCTGAACAATATAAGAAAATTGCTCGATATTTTCAATCAAATTCGAAAGACGTATCATCAAAGTTATTTCCTCAATTTATGCAGGACTAAAATGTGAAACACGGTCTAGCTAGTAAGGTGTAAAATAAAATCAATCATATATGCGGATCACCGTCTGTGACCGACGCTTCTTATTGATACAAAACTGTCTTAGCATATGATCACGCATCGCGATTTGCACACTCTCACAGTCCGTATTATACAAACACCAAAATCATCCACGATCTTGGATTAGTATTTCGAAGTGATATGAAATAGGTAGTATTCATTAACAAGTATTAGTCGATTAATCTTCAACAGTTGTCTTGTGGATGTGGGTGAATATATGGGTGCAAATGAGTATTGTTAGTGAAGAAAATACTTAAGCCATGGCTGTATAGATCTTTATTAAAAACTTAATACATGTCCGTACTCCTTGAAGATTTAAGAAAACTATTGAAATTTTTATAAATATTTATAACCAAGGTTTTCAAATTTCAGATGATGGAGGTTTCTTGCCACTAAGCGCAAATGGCGGAAGTACTTGTTTAGGAAGTTATATGTTCAGTCGATTAAAATGTCGATGTTTTTCTACTTAACAATCAACTTTGAACCAGCCCATCGCTTAGTATATAAACAATGTGTCACTAACGTTCATTCCTTGTCGTGAGCATTGGACAATAACAAAAAATACTTATCAGCATTTCGATGAACGATGGTTAATCGATAACTCAGGAGGTGAGCCTTATGTATCTTCTTTCATTGCATGGCTGCCAAGAACAAAAGATCAAAGCTCGTCAAAAGTTGTATGTTAAGATTTTCTAACTGTTAAATAGAGTGAGAACCAAAGCAGAGATAGACTGTGCCCTTTCGATTGGTATTTGATGAACAAAGTAACATTAAATTTTGAAGATACTAATGATTACTCGAACCGGACTGCAAATATAAAAAGCAGCATGCTTGTTTAATTTCTTTTGACACCCAAGTCTCTGTGACTCGCAGTGAAACCTATTCGACTAAGTAGACTGCATCTTCTACCATATCACTGAAATACAACTTCCAAAAGGATTCGCAGTAGTGCTGATATGTATTTTTAGTGAAAAACCAAGTTTTTCGATCTGTTATTTTCGAAGAATTTGTTTTTCGACTTAAACAATTCTGGATGAAAAAACCCGTCGTGGCAAATAAAGTAATGCTGATGCAGTTCAACGTCAACTTAGTTGAAACACAAGCGATGAGAAAAAAGGAAGAAGAAAAGAATTGTATAAACAGCGTCATATTTCGCTTTTTCATCGAAATAAGCCGTCGATCAGTTTATATGTAGGTGTCGAATTTTTATAAAGGTGAGTTACAACCTTGGGTGTGGGTGCTCTTCCTATCTACATCCACTCACACCTACACCCACACCCACACCTACCCACGCCCACAACCACACCCATACTCTAACTCATAACGTCCTCACCCAGACCCAGACCCAGACCCAGACCCAGACCCACACCCACACCCACACCCACACCCATACCCACACCCATACCCTCATTCTCATCCGCACCAACATCTTCATCCTCACGCATACACAAGCGCTTACTTTGCTCTGTGTGCATTATTTAGAGAGTAAAAACGATTGCAGGTTTGTTTGTTTTTGTTTTTCGGCTTTTTCCAAGTTACATTCTGTGTACATATGAATTACACTTACAAAAAAAGTAAAATACAGTGGTTGACAAACATAAGTTGCCTGTGTAATGTTGCAGATTTTTTGCTTTTAAATAAAACTCAGTAAAAGCTTGGTATACTGCCTGACAAATACAGTTTCATGTACCACACTGGAAAATCGTTTTGATAAATAAATATACATTGCTTTCTCGAACAACACAATCAATATTTAAAAGTATACTATAAAAAGTAAGCATCAAATGTGGGAGGGTGAGGATGAGAACGATTAAGGTAGAAATGACGGTAATAACAGAAAATATATCGATGTAGTCTGTTCGTTTTATAATCCAACGGGATTTCGTCAGACTTATCTAATACATGATACTGTTTTGAATAAAAATCATTATGTTCTGAACAGTTATCGATAGACAACACGGGTTACTACTTGTTTCGATTGCATTCGGCTAAAACTATGTTTAGAAAAACATCCCCGTGCTTAGGAACGAGACAAAACTCTAGTAAATTAACCCACTTTATTGACTGAAATTGTTCATAAACAGCGCGAGTTGCTTGGTGAACAGACACAATTCTGTATTTAAGTGAGGAAAACCGTCTGACAGTGTGCACTTCGGCTTAGCAGTATGTTCTGGATATCCAACGTGTTGGTAATATTTATCTTGAGGGTGGGCGTGGGTGTGGGTGTATAATAAATGAAGACAATATCCATACCCACCCTGAAGATGTTTGCGACAGTATTATTCGAACCATTATTTTTCTGTATCCTACTTTGTTAATATAAAAAAATGATGATGAGAGCATCTTAAAACATTCACGTTCAACATCAGTTGAGTTTACCTTAATTCTAGATTTCACTCGAGAATGGAACGACCGAAAAGAGCATGTTCTTCAAAGCGTTCAACTTCAACTATCTCAAAGAAGCAACGAAGTAAATTGAAAAATTCTATTATAACTAATACATTTTATGAATTTTTCTCATGTATTTTAGATGAATCAACTAATTCAAAGTTTGTAAAATTAATAATAGTTAAATCGAACCATTCGTTCTTGTGCTTTTCATAGACCATCCATCACAACCTTTGAAGTTTTTAGTAATGAGTTAATTTATAGTATATTCGACTACATGGATTATATAATGATTTTTAAGGCGTTTTCACAATTGAATAAACGTTTTTCGGATCTTATAAAAGCTTATCCTTCGCGCATGATCGATTTTCCAGCATGGACATCGGACAAGTCGATGTATCTTACTATAATGAACTCTGAACGACATCGAATTCAGTCCATTGCAATTCGTGGTGACAGAAATATTGATATATTCCTCAGGACATGCTGTATCGATAGTACATTTCTTTGTCTCGAATCAGTTACACTGAGAGATCTTGAGCTGAAATCTGTCTTACCTATACTCTCATTTTTACAAACATTACCCGAACTTCATCGATTGTCCTTACAAATGGAAGCAATTGCTGTAATTGGAGGAGAATCCTTGAATATGACAGCTATCTATCAAATGTTGTTAAGTTTTAAGTTTCTCAAATATCTTAACGCTTCAACGAATTATCGTATTACCGAAGATACTGTTTTTTACATTAACGTTCCATCGATTTCGAATCAAGAAACATGTAATCTAGAATACTTGATAGTTGATCACGGAATCCGTATCGATGAAATATTATCAATTATTAACCACACACCTAAACTTCATCATTTGTCCCTTACGTCACTAAACGGAGGACATATTCCTCTAAAAGATATATCATCTAGAGTGCCAAAATTACTAGAACTAACTGAACTGATCATTCATGATTCTAGTCTAAATGTTGAAGACTTGGAATCTCTTCTGACTGCATTTGGTTGCCGATTGAAAACTTTAGAGATTCAAACAGATTCATATGCAAGCTTTTGCATTGATGAACAATGGGAAAAACTGATGAACACAACACTTTCTGATCTGAACATCTTTGGGATACAGTTCAATAAGCAAAAACCAGCTGACGAATTTGATGAAGATGAAGATGATGAAGCTGAAATTGAATGCCGTATTCAAAGTTCGCTTGATTTCATGTGTGACTCATTTTGGTACGATAATGGTTGGACGGCAGACATTTATGTTTTTACCAATTCAGTTCAAGCTGTGTTTCGTCGTTCTAGGTAATTTCATTATTCTCTGTCTTGAAAATAAAATCTATGATTTGATTACCATTTTGAAGGTCATGCGATGTAGTAGACAATCCTCAATCTGGAGGTCAATTACAGAAATTGATTCATTTCAATTATCGATATCATCAACTGAACTGTTCTTTCTCGTCAAGTTATCGCTTAACTGTAGGTGATTCTGGTCCTTTTCAAGCTGACTATCGTGAACACATTGGAAAGGAGTGCTTTATCAATTCGAAAGCGAACATTTCATATTTACCAATTAAGCAGTTAACGATTAACTGTTCGAATGTATCCATTTTGGATCTAGTAATGATCCTGAAAAAGTTACCTCATGTGAAATATCTGAGCATCAGATCAAAATCAATCTCAGAAATTGAAGATCAAGACAACGAGAATACAAATGCAGAATGTCGCTTCGATAGTATAGATCGACTAGAAATCCACGCAACCGTGCCATGGAAAACGGTTACTTGTTTGATAAAATATTTTCCAAATCTGATCAATCTCCATGTTTATTATCAATGTAGCACTCAGCTTTTCGATGCTATTTATGGTTCATTTCCATTTAATGATGTGGCTAGTGTAGAGTATGATCGAAAAACTAACCTAATCAATGAAGAAGAAGAAAAAGATTCCATTAGATGGCAGGATTTTCACCAGTCTTCGAATGAACAGTAAGATGGTTAACTATATAATACGTTCTTGAATTGTTTCATCATCTCGTCTTTTAGAATACTCGCTCTTATTCGGAAAAAGTGTGAGTGTGGGTGTGGGTGTGGGTAAGAGTAGTAGCGTAGCCATCGGGTGAGCTACGGGACGCTTCGCACCCTCTACGAAATTTTAAAA